CTGGCCAAAGAATATTTCCTATATCTCCCATACCAAAGGTGACATTAAGAAAGATGGCCGAATGGGCGGATAAGATGATCCATTTCCATGAAAAACGAAGGTTTTGGATTGACTGTCAAAATGCCAAACAATGGCATCAAATTGATTTTTTGAAGGAGAAAATGGAAATGAAGATGGAAAGTGTGAAGTATACGTGCATTTATAGGAGGGTGAAGGTGAAGAGACAGAATATGAACAGCCACATTCGTGCCTAGCAAATGGAATTAAGTGGCCCAAAGTCTTGGGAAAAGAGGCAGAAATATCAAGAGAAAATGTGCAAATAATTTTAGCATAAAGCAGTTAAATGCTTGAGCAATTGACGATTAAAAAACAAACGTCAATAAATACACAAGAAGCTAAAATAGTTATTCATTAACAATGATGGCTGCTGTCATGATTAAAATTAGCAATGGATATCAGTACAAGGTTACAAAGGGAAAGTCAATACGAAATTACAAAAAGAAAAAGTTAAGACATTATATGTCTTAATTACAATTTGCCCCATATCAAACGAATTCTTTCCCTAAGTCTCCCCCAGTCCTCGCTCTGCCGAGAAGAAGTGATATTCAATTCAGCCACAACATCATCATCAACTTCTATCTTCTTGTACTGCTCGACCAAAGATTTAATTCGCTCAATTCTTTGGGAGGCATTACGATTTTTAGCAGCCATTCTCGCCTTGCAGTCGTCCATCTTGGCTTGAAGCTCCTTCATCTGTACAGCCAAACTAGTTATCAAAGAGTCTTCAATCGTGAATTTGGAAGAGATTTCTTTCAATTCGTCCTCAACTTTGTTGATCTCCAGAAGTAAGGACTCTTTTTCAGATACAACGCGAAGATATTGAGTACTTTTGGCCTTCAGTTCAACATTTTTGGCCAGCAAGGAGATGATCTTGGAATGGACAACTTTCAACGTTGCTTTAAAATCAGCAGAAAGATTGAGCGACGGAAGTGTCAGTGCTTGCTCCAATTTCGCATTTAAATGCTCAAGCTTATCCTTATGCTTGGCAGCACTAACCTTACCGATGTCCATATCCATGAAGGACACATACTCAAATATCGACTGGTTGAGGAATTTCATATCTTCTTCTGAAGAAGCAGAAGGACGACTGGCTGAAACAAGGCGAGATGTCTTGACTTGCACCCAGGAAGTGAACAAGTCTTGGATGGAACGCACAATTTTATCAGCATCCTGCAAAGAAAGTTACCAACATTGAAGGTTTTCACTACACTAAACAAAGTGAAAGTAAAGGTGAAGCAAAGATTACCTCATCAGCAATCTTGGAAGGTGGCATGTCCCCAGCCAAATCTACCACCTGTGGCTCCACCATTTGTGAGGACTTCCCCTTGTCTAAGCAAGAAAAACTTACCGCAATGGGCAGACTCATGGGAGCATCTGCAGAACTCAAAAAGCAACAAATCAAAAACCAATAGCACAAGCAACCTGCATCAAAAAATGAATTACCTTCCGCTTCGACGTTTGGGGGGTTGACGCCCTGGTAAGAAGGTGGCTCATCCATTGGTTGTGATGAAGATTCTGGGATTGAAGATTTCTCTTTAAGCGTAGTCCCTTCATCAGCTAGTTTGGACGAAGCAGTCTCAGCAGAGGATGATGGAGCAGGAGCTGCCAACACCAAAGCCTTCAAAGGAGAGGCTGAACTTTTCTGAGAAATCTAAATAAACTATCAGCACATAGAAAAGTTTCAAGTATGGAAATGTATGCTTGTGAGTAAACCAATTTAATTACCTTCCTCCTGAAGACGAGAGGGGTGTCATCATCATCATCAGCATCATCCTCCAAAATAGGAGATGCTGTGTCCGTTTGCGGTTGGGGGCACTTTTAGCTGCAGTGGGCTTGGCAGGAAGAAAAGTCGATGGACGAGCAGACTGTTTAGCACGAGCAGGGGAAGAGGGACTCCTAATGGACATAGGAGTGACCAAAACAGGAGAGGTGGAAGAAATGTTTGGCTGGTCCAGTGAATGGAAAGTATGATTGGCATCAGTCGCAAACAATCTGCGCTTCACTGACGGTCAGAGTCATTCAAAAAGGGAATGGATGGCACGGCTAGGATTAAAAGGGGCTAATGAAAAGTTGCTCGTCAAAAGAATATTGCGAGCATTTATAGCTTCTGCCTCTGCCTTATTAATGGTGTGGAAGCGGTCTATTAAATTTCTTGAATAGCAAGGAAGAACGGGCCAAGTTTGGCCAAAGCCAAGTTGGCGAGCAAAAAATTGGGGAGCGTATATTTCAACCCCAGCTTTAGCATTGGTTCCAGTTAAAATATCATGAAACAACTCCCTCCCAGTCAAAAACTGAATCCAAATGAACAGAGAAGTGCTCGCACTATCCATAGTGGATGGAGGTTGCACATAATCCGGAGTCAAAAAGGGAGGAAAAGGAAAGAAGGAAGGGATTGAATCCAAAGCATAAAAGAATGAAAAAATGTCCCTTCTGGACATATTTACAGGAGTCGGGGGATTAATGACTAGCCCATAGCAACTAGCAGAAGGAGTGGAAAAGGATGGAGCACCAAGCGATGGAAAATAGGCTCTCAACCACATCTGAGTGAACCAAAGAGGCCCACTACCAGTGGGAGATGCACCATTCTTCAATTGGGATTGAAGAGAAGCAATGCCTCTATAGAGGGCAGCTAAAAAGAAAGAACACAAATTTAGAGGCCTACCACGCGCCAACTCGTGCGCTATGGGTAAATAGCTCATGGAGGGCTTCAGGCTTGGCACACACAAAATGTATTTACAAAGCCAAACCTGAAGAAAAGCCACACGCTCAGTATGGGAAGGCTCAGCGCTCGAGTGGTTATGACAGGTTTGTAGGGTTGAATAAGACTCGGTGAGTTTTTTATCAAATTTTGGGGCGACACCAGAAATCAAAATACCAGGAAAAATGGTATCGCCCAAAGGTGGCAAATTTATTAGGGCCTCAACATCCCTTAAGGTAATGGACATAGGACCAAGAGGAAAAACAAAAGTATTATAATCGGAAGACCAAAAACTTAAAGCGGTTGGAAAAAGTACTGGGTCAAAAATAGGGGGTTGAATAGAGATTTCTAACAAATCAGAAATCCTAACACTATCAAAAATTGCCTTAGTAGGACCATGGTCCACAAGGCGAGCATGTCATCTACAGAAAATGACATCAGATTTAGGCCAAGTGCGAATACCTCTTTCGCGAAGCGGCCTCAGCGGCAAAGAGTTTAGAAATGGAGGGCCCTAAGTACAAGGGAACAGTCGACCGACCGCCGCTTGTTCGATGGCTTCGACGTTGTTAAATGAAGGACATAGATAGAATTCATTGAGTTCAACATTGACTGGTGCAAGGAAGTTCGGAGTTATATATGGCCGAGTGAGGAGTTTCTGGAAGTCTTCGAAACTGAAGGAGTCACTAGACTGGGATTGTGAAGCAGTCATTAGGAACGAAATAGAGTTTGTCGAAGTTACATAGCAGAGAAGCAAGAAGATGAACAGTAATATTGCGAGAGAGAAGCGCGAAACAATGAGGCGTGATTTAGTGGTGCAATAAAATGACGTGTATTTGGGGGTTATAAGGGTTTGCAAACGTCGCACCTTTTCAGGCTATGGAAGAAAATAATGATTGAAATCCTTGGAAATTTCAAGTGTTGCTGGGAAACACAAAGTGAATATGGCAAAAATTAATAATTGGTATTAATTCTGCCATATTGGGGGGGTAATTGTTAACACACAAAAGTTCAGCTCAAATCAAATAAGCCCAAGGAATGAAGCCCAATTGGAGGATCCCCAAATCAGATAGCCCAAAGAACGGCCCAATCAGGCAATGCAGGATAAATGCCCAAATAGGGAAGCCCATGAACGCGATAATACCATCGTCCAAGGTTACAAGTCGCCCAATATTTGAGCGAATGGATTGCTATGCAGTTGCCCAGAACTATGATCCTGTTCTTGTCCAAACCTTCGAGTCGCCCAAGATCTTAGCAAACATAAGATGTTATGGTTACCCAAAGGTGCTGTTAATGAAGTAGTTATTGAGTAGCCCTATCACATTCCATGATCCAAGGAATTCAATTGAAGACGGTTGAAAGACAAAAGTAATGGCAGCAGTTAGAGAAGGCAGTTCCATGACAAGTTGGCCACTATGAAAAAAAGTGGGCAGTTATAGAGCGATCAAACAGTTTTTAAACTGTTGATCACGAAGAGATCATCCAGAGTGTATAAAAGGAAGAAAAGACATAGAGCAAGAGACCCGAATCAAATACTCTCAAACAGAGAATATGTAACTTTCAATTTCTTAGTTTAGATTTAAACACTTCTTTTCAGTAACTCGTGTGCTTGCGCCCCTTGGAGGCATTCTGTTTTTATTTTCCAATTGTAAAGTCATCGCCAATAAAACACTCATTTTTGAGACTTTGTCTCAAGAAGTTTGTCCCTTATACAATCGTCTGATCCTTTTTTAATTGTTAGCGACTAACCCGCGCGAAACACTACCAGAGTCCAACTCTTGATTAAAAATAATAATCATCAAATGAATCTTGGGTATTTTATAAAATTAGACATAACAGGAAATCATGCACACAATGTTACGGAATTCTAAGTATTTTACAAAAATATCGAAGACAATTAAAACTAATAAATTTGATCTCTCTTTACAATAGTCAATTTAAGCATATAGATGAGGTGATTTAGGGTAAATTCATTGCATCAAGTTTTACCGTCAAAAACGGTGTGGATTTTATGTCTTTAATGAGTAATCTTTAACTACTCTCAACTCTTCAACTGTTTGAATTTCAATTTTGCTATTTGTACCTTCGAGATTGACACTCCCTCATAAAAGAGGGGGCCCATAATTATTTTATTAAGTGTGAGGCCCCCTCTTGTGATGGGGTGTCATCCTGTACAAATAGTAAAACTCTTTGAATTTATCTACTTATACATAATATTTTGCACCCCTTCTTACAGAAACAGTGGTGGCTGCAAAATGTATGTTTTCTATATATATAGCAAGCTCCTTATGATTAAGTTCAACCAGTAAAAACGCAGCAGAGTCTCTTACAAAGCTGCTCCCAACAAGAACGGAAATAATGACACTATAATTTGATACTTTCCAACATCTACGAGAGAGAGAGAGAGAGAGAGAGGAAAACCAGTTCTTAAAGAAAGACACGAAAAGTGGAGAAATATAAAGATAAAAGGAGCCCCTAAGCCAGCTAGGAAGTACTGTGAAGAGAACATAACACACTTAAGAATTGTATTCATCAATTGGCGGACCCAAATACGGAATTCCATCCATTTCCGCTTCTTGGGGCATTTCAATCTCTTCAAGCCATCCATAACAATGGCCATCATCCTCTACCTTTGTAAATTCTTCTATATCTGCAGGTGCAAATAGAGAGTCAATAGAAAGAACTACAATAAAGAAAATGGAAATGCACTGAAAATAAGATAGCACAACCTTATATTGCATGCATTTCATGCAGTATGAGATTTGGGGCGCGTTTGGGGTATGATGTACTTCGTCCGAACAGGCTATCATAGTCATATTATGAGCTGCATCCCAGTTATAAAATAGGATGCTGCTAGAACTCTATACAAATGAATAGGTTCAACCAGCATCGTGTAACTGTAACACAGCAGCATTCAAGAATCCTATTCATGGAACTGATGACATATTTCTTGCAAAAGGAGTCAGACTTCCTTAGAATCGAATTCTCATTTGGATTTAGTTGAAGATGTCAATGTGAAGTCATAAATTCAACCATTCGAAAGGGAGCTGAAGCCCTCCTTAGAAGGAAGTCTCCCTTTAAGTTTGGACTAAGAGACGAGTCATAAATTCAACTATTCAATTTTTTTCTCCCAAGACTGACCTTTTTCCAAGTGAACTGTACCTTGATACCACATTCTTTGATAGATATGCAAGCTCTCTAGGTTGCATTACCCTTTAGGTCAGATTAATTGTGCTTAAAAAATGACCACATCCTATAATATCTAAGAGTTGGAAGATATGCATTTCTATGTGGTTTGGAAGGGGAAGAAAATTGGGCATTTCTAGGACAGAGAAGTTATTCACAATGTGTAATTCAACAGTTCTTAAAATATGGATTGATGAAGAAGTATGCATTCATGCGGCCGATCTCAAATTTATTAAGAGCGACACATACTTTGTTGCTGACCAAAAAACTCTTTAACGGATTATACTACGAAATGAGATTATTTCCTTACTTGACGAAGCACCAAATGAAGTCTCTCTGTAATATGAGCAATCCCGGTCATCTTCTTTAGAATATGGAGGTCCAAGAACATCAAGAATAGCAGATGGGGTTACAGCAATGAATTCATGGATATTTCCTCCTGATGTTGGATATAATACAGAAGTGTCACATGGTGCTGTGAAGTTCCTGTTTGCTTTTATCCTTGCCCGTCTCACTGCATGCAATTCCATCAATATCTCATTTTACAAGATCACAGTTAGGGTAGGGCGTGTTTGAATGGCCTTTTCAACTTTTGAAGTGTTTGCTTGCCATTTTTTTTCCATGAAAAATATTTTCCAACCTTTGAAAATATGCCAATCAAACACACCCTTAGAGAATGTTCCATAAGCTGTAATGCTTGGAACTGATAAATAAGATTTGTAACTTCTTTTCCTTCTTAAAAAATTCCGTACATTCCTTTAACCGAACATATCATACTGGTGGGGTGGAAGAGAGACGGGAAAAACAACTCACCTTTAGAGGGCGAATCGTAGTTATCAGAATCGAGGGGATCAGCCCAATCATATGATTTAATGTGCACTGTCCCTAATAGAAGCTTGCTGAAAACAGTCATCCCTGGATGATTATGGAGAGGTATGACAGCAGTTGCAGGGAGAAATAAAAGGCATAGCTGTGGAAAGCATAGAACAAAGTGAATAGAATTACTAATTTAGCTTGAATTCACAATAGATTCCTAACTATGCACTGGAGGAGTTAATTTTACAAAGACAGATCTTGGATTTAATAGATTAGGTTCATATTTGTACTGAAGGACAATAATTGAGAAAAAAGACACCAGAGAGAAAATCTTACTGAGAAATTATGGCATTTGTAGATGGTAGCAGATGCAACTCTAGGATTCCCTTCAACTACTGCACTCTTAGGTTGAAAGAATTGCAGATCTCTACTCAGCCCCACATCTTCAGGTTTCATAACATCTACAAAATTATGGTAATAAAAGACTGATCAGAGAAATAAATCGCTTTAGAGAGTAAGAAATTCCAAGTACCTAACTGAGTTAATGTTTTCCTCTTCATCGGTTACACGAATGCTTCTTCTCCATTGGCATTCAAGAAAATTAAATTAGGAAACCTCGTTGTGGTAATTATTCTATTATGGTAAGGATTCTTCAAATTTTTCCCTTAAGAGTTCTTTACCTAGGCTGTGGACCAAGATCACGGTCAAGACGACATTTAAATAAATTAATATGTTCATCTCAAATGAGTTTGTTTAATGAGGTGGTTCAATATGATCTAAGGACGATTGTTGTAAGATCAACTAGTTTATGAAAAATTGTGACGAGATAGTTCCACAGTTAAGTATAACTGATGCCATGGATTCACATTGTTTATGTATCAATTCCAATAGTGAAGCCAGCCTAAATTCAATACCTTAAGCTTTAAGGAAATAATAACCCTCTTGGAGTTTGAAATTTGAGCCAACAATCTCAAGATATTGGATCAAAGAAAAAAAAAAAAAAAAAAAAATGTAATCCACCTTGGATCCCAAAAAGATCCCAAAAAAGTGTAAAGAACAACATATCAGACATCATTAACATACATATGCATTTTCCAACTGTCAAACTCTTAACGAGATGGCTCAACTTGATATTAAAGCCAGCTAAGATTCTAAGTTTTAAATTTTTAGACGAAGAGACACACACTACTCACCAAGAATGTTGCACAATCTTTGAACATCACTGGGTGGAGGAACAGTGCCAGGGCCTCTGAAAACTTGTTGGCATGAATCAAATAGCGTCTGCAGTGTACTTGAAAACATTTTCACAGTTCTCTTTACTTGAATTCTCTCCTTTCTTTTGCACCTCTTCTTCTTGATAACCCTATCAACATTATTTTCAACTCTGCTCGATCTCCTTTGCTCCACCAGACCTACAGCCTCCGTTGTCATCAACAAAACTTAAAAATATAAGGTTGTTTTTCCTTTACCCAATCAAGAATCTCTTTAACCTTCAAACTGTTTTTGCATGCAAGAGATATATATAAATGTGTTTGTGTGTGTAGAAATAGATATTCTCTTTTGAATTTTCTTGGTCTTCTTCTTGGTCTGATATAATTGGATTTGGGATGAAGAATTTAGTGGGGAACTTTGGAGGAAAAAGTCAAGTGGAAAATTGTGGGTGGGATTGGGAAAAAGAGCAAGATATTAAAGGATAGATGCAAGATGGGAGGAAAGAGAGAGGGGGAGAGAAAAACCATGGGCTATGGGAAGAGTAGATAATAATATGTGCATGGAGTGAAAGAAAATATTGAGTTGAATAATGGAATGTTCGTCATTATCGGGAGTTTCATCTCAAAATTTTAAATTATTACTTCATATTGAAGATATGGTGTCCATATCTGCTGTTCAAAATTGAATATCCAATTTACTTAGTATTCAATAATTTAATGATACATTATGTTACACTTATTTTTAAACAGAAACAGTAGTGAGAGAAAAGTAAAACATGTTAATTTGAAGTGATGTGTTAATAAATCATTGAGTGGACAATCAATTTTGAAAAGCGGATCTCAACTCAAAGATATATAATCATTTTTGTTCAACTAATAGATTAAAACTAAATCAAAATCAATAATCAATTATGATCATATAATTCATAAAATTCATAACTTTTTAACCATACATTTTATCAACTTTTATCAAATTTAATATATGATTTTTATCTAAACCAAACAAGGGTGTAATATATATTTACCCTTAAAACTTCCTGCAAGATCTTGTATGAGAATATAAATTTTGAAATGCAATAGTGGAGTCAAATTTTCATAATGGTAAGTGTAAAATATTAAAGGAGTAAAATATGGAATAATTCCATAGGTACAGAAAACTATTGACAGAAATAATACAAGTGTTGCGTTGACAGCATCTATATGGTGCATTTATTGTATTTATTGTGTCAAAAACCAATATAAAATTGTTAAGTGTTTTTTTGTAAAAATTCTATCAAACTTTTTCTGTACTTGTAATAAAACTGTAAAATCTATATGTATTTGAATATATTTAAAAAAAATAATATATCTATATTAAATTTAAAGAATTTAAAAATGTTGTGGAGCAGTCGTCACCCGGCTGCACCTCTCGTGCTTTCATCCCTTTTGAAATGTGACTGATCGTTAGAAAGTTTCGTATACATTTCATAAGTAATATATTTATTTTTATACTATAAAAAATGTATTCAACGTAGAATTGAAGGAAAACTAGTTGGAAAGGGTTGTATCCGCCCCTAAGATTGAGCAGAAAACAGCTAACTAAAAGTACACTGTTTTCCGAAGTTTGAATACCATACAGTAATGTGTGTCGTGTCATTTAGCCATTTTGTGTGCAATTTGAAAATGACACAATAGAGCCACATCTGGCTTCTATAATATCTTGCTGTAAATTTCTCATTGGGACAACCTTTTTCTTTTCTTTATTCTTAAACAGGTAATTCATCCACCTTAGTATCTCTATCTATTCCTACGTATTAACTATTTCGTATAAAAGTTTTGAGTTATTGGACAAATATTACTGAGTTACGTGTTCGTATTCGTTTATACTTTTATCTTCAACACGTTCTCTAAGTTACGTGTACAAATTTTTTCTTTTAATAAAGAAGTAGCGACAAGACTTAAATCCACGTGCTTTCTAGAGGCGTATATAAATAATGTTAAATATTATATTTCAGAATTTACTCAATCTTAAAGTACGTTAACTGAATATTTGAACATAAACTGTCTGATATACTAATTAATGAAAAAATGAGACATAAATGCAACAATAAACACAAATTGTGGACTTTTACGACAATTAAAAAAGAGTGCAACAATAGAAAACGTAGTATCCATTCATTTCCTACTTCGACGACTTTGATATTTTTTAACCTTAATTTTTGCTATGACTGCTAGATATGGTAAAATTAAAATATGATCACGTTGGGTAAATTACATCTTCCCTCCATATATATATATATATATATATATATATATAGAGGAAAAGACAGTGTGGCGAGATGTTATTGAATGAAAAAGTTGACTGTGTTTTAAATAGATCAATGATAAAATGACACGTGACATTATGTCAACTATTATGTCAAGCATGATTCATATATAAATATTTAAAAAAATAGTAAAATTTCCCAACTTTTAAGCTTAGCCAAACAAGCTAACAAACGTGCAACATGCAGTTTATGGAATTTGGAACATATGGAAGAAAGTGAACAATTGTCCCCTCGTGAAAAATAGAAACTGCAAATTGCACCTTTATTAGTGGAAAATGTGCAAAGTGGCAGATAATGACATGAAGTATAGCAATCCCACGAGAGGAAGTAACAAAGCAAGGTGCATTTTTACTATTGCTCATTTAGGCAAGTTGTCTAAAGAAGTCAAGCATGTGTAAACGTAGGAATTGTCACATCACTTTTCGGCTAATGAATAAATTTAAGATGGTAAACAAAATTAACAACATGAGAGCAAGCTAGTCTATGCCAAATTGAATGAATCAATCCTGTTTATGTCCATAATATAAACAAACAGCTCACCAGCAATGTAAATAACTATGTGCTAGGAAATGGATTTTGATCTCAGAGCAAGGGAGAGAGCGTCGTTTATCAAACCAACGTGCTCAAGATCGATGAATTGCAGAAAAATTTCAACTGGGGCGGGTTGACGAAATCAAAATTGGAATATGTAATACATACAAAATAGCTGCAAATTGAGACTTCAAACTACTGTTTCGATTACTCCATTTTTCTTTGCATACAATTTGCACACTTTTTTCCATATGAATGTCGTGAAAGCATAAAATTGGACTTTCTTTTTACGCTAACATATTCATGAACGAACATCACTTCACTACTAGAAGGTTACAAGCAAAAAGAATACATGATAGTGACTCAATACCAGATGGAATTCAAATCATGTTGTCCACCTCCAAAAGACAATAAGTACAATGATAGTGAGAACCATGCCTGCATATTTAATCCACCAGTCGACATGATTTCGCTTCTCAATGAGCCGCATTACAGAGTTTGATAGCCCCAAAGTGTTGAGGACATCCAGAGCTTTTCTTTGAGCTCTCTGCACCAATGCAAATCCAGTAAGTTATTGGGATGGATTAATTCGTTTACAAAATTATCCACGTATAGGAGATTTGATTTCTCAGATTATGCTACAAAGATTTTCTAAAATGAAACAAGCAAAGACTGCCAGCGTGCTAATTTGTACATTTTGATTAGTTTTTAAAGAAACTAGATATTACCATTGTTCTAAAAAGCTAGCCTAGGTGAAGCTTGGCTTTGCCGCCTAGCCACGCTTTACGCTTTTTTATGCATAGGCTAGTTTAGGCTCGTAAGAGCTTAAAACTTGGCCAGTTGGCCATGTTGCCTAGCCATTCTTTACGCTTTCTAATATACCAGTTATTACAAACACTTGCTGCTAAACATGCCAGAGAAACTCCCAGTAAGATATAACTAACAGTACACTTGGAATATCTCCAATAAACTCTTTAAACATAATATGCATTCTATTTCAAAGAGTCAACACTTAAAATTATGCTCCAAGAAACTCTTTAAATTAATATTTTAATTTAGAGAGACAGTTTCATCTTAATTTAGAGAAAGCTTTGGAGAGCTAAACCCACTCTTTATAATTCAGTACATTTAAAGTATTTCAGTTTTCAATAGAGGAAAATAATATAATAATTTGTAGAAAAACTAGTAAAAATAAAAGATAGAAAAAAAATAATAAATATTTTTTTAGGAGTAGTAAAATTAAATATCAAATATAAAAAGCATGTTGAATTACTTAAAAGTTTTATCTCTAAATTTATAGATACTTTCTAAATTATAAAATATGCTCTTTAAAAATAGAGAGCCTCTTAGAGATGCTCTTGGACACGCGGAAATTGCAGATAAGTATGTCAATAAATTCGTTTTTTGTATGTACCCTCCAACCCAGTAAAGATCACATTGTTTGAATATTTACAGAGATTTGAAAAACGCACACTTAACAATTTGCATCATTCTTCAACCCATAGCCTCTATTGCCGCTGATTAAGCTTTAGAGAAGACAATTGTAATGGGGCGTGTAAATACAGAAACTCTTAACATTCTTCTTGGGATGGAGGGAATATCGCCTATCAAGATAGATAGTGCAAATGTTTTAGCGGATTCCTATGGATATTTCCTACCCTACTTCATAAGTAAATATTAAGCCATGTCCACGGGACGGAGGAATTTAAGAGAAAAAGATTAAGAATTACATATCCAGGCAAAGGCATTGCACAAAGAAAAAATAATTGCCTGTCTTGTATGGAATTTACAAGCACATAATGGTTCAATACGTAAATACATTAAAACTTACGAAAAAAAACACACACTTTGCACAAAGATTTCAGTCGTCCTAGAAAGAAAACCTTTAACATTGTTCCAATTCTTCTTGCAGTCTTCGCAACCACCTTGATCACATCTGCGCTAACATCAATTCCTAAATTTTTCAATATCATCAAATTATTTATATTACACATCCTAAAAAAACTAGTCTTCCTAAATTAAATTGTATAAAGATGTTTCAATACACTTTGCAGACTTTCCAACCACTTTGATCATACCAGACTACCAGTGGCAGACAACAATTTTTAATTTTTTGAATAGGATCATATTCTTCGAAATGAAACCTACATAATCATCGTGATTTCAATTTAACTTGTGTAACAGTGTGCTTGGCTCCCTTCTTTAAGCCCTTTCCCAAAACTTTGAAAGTTGAGTGAAACAAGAGTAACCGGCCATCTACGAAACTTAAAATCAGGCATCAAAGCAATAAAAAATTCCTATTGAGTCATAAAAGTGGAATACATACATTTAAAGACCTTGATCATATTATGGACAAGGCGTTGTTCAAAGTATTCATATAGAATCGTATAATTTATATTACATAGTACATATATTTTCAATTAAACAGCATAACTTCAATTTAAACTGATTAACATTTTGGATCTAAATTTCAACCAATCCTCATATTTAGACTTAAATCCGTACATATCAATGCAATAAAAATCCCAACTGATCCATACTATCGGAGTATTACATATAAAATTATACGTACACATATGAGTTGGGAGATACATTTTCCAGAGATCGCGTTGAGACTTGGCGGCGATGGAACGCCAGAGACGGTCCATGTCAGAGCAGAGGGACTGGATCTGAATAATGTCTCGTCTAATTACGATGGATGGATCATCGGAAGTACCCGAAACGACGCCGTTGGATGTTGAAAGTGAAGAAGAGACGGAAGACGACTTGTACTCGAGACGCTCGAGCCTCTCCAAGGCGTCTCTTGTCTTCAGTAACAAACGCTTCGAGTTAGAATACAGTTCCGATAAATTTCCGCCACCGCCCGTAGCCATTCTCCATTTTTTTTTTTTTTTAATTATTTTCGTCCAATAAAGTTTTAAGCGCTCAATGAATTTCACTTCCCACGTTTTTATTGCCTGCCACTTTCATCAACGGTTCTTATATATGCTTATTAATCATTATTGTATTATTCTTAGCCTCGTGTGGTCCCACTATTTCAAATTTTAACGCGTAAAATAATATTTTTTTTTTGAGAATGAATGATCTAAAACGAATAAAAAGATTTCAATTTTCGTGTCAAAAAATTTCATGAAAGGTTACGTAGTCGAAAATAGGAGAGAAAAAAATAAAATTTAATTTATTGGGGTAATTTTCTTTTGGTTGCATTTTTATCTTTTATTTCCTATTAATTATCACATTATACCCTTGTTTGAGTCACATTATTTTCGTAAGAATGCATTTTTGAATAATATATTGATAAAAAATATGTAATTAAAAATAAGAAAAAAATTTAGATTTGCCTGTAATATTATTTTATTGAAGAATGTTTGATTGAAATGATATCAAATTACTGTTTAATAATATATTTTTTTGAAAGAATGTGGTCAAATATGATGTATATTTTCAGTGAAATAAAACTTATTTGCTGTTTATCTTTTAAATAAGCAAAAGTACAATATTGTATTTGTCCCACATTTAGAAGGGCACTAATAAATTTTTTAGACAGAAATCGTCATTAATGACAAGATATGAAAGGTGTTAAATCAGAATGGTGCGATCCAATTAGTTCATTCTATACTAATTAACTTGTTTGATAGTGCTTAAAAATTATACGAAATACAAGAATAAAAAGCGTGTTCAACCAATTGAAATTAAAATTAAAGCTTTGCCCAACATGCACTCAAGGAAAACGATTTTGAGATTTAAGGAGATTCTAGGATAATCTGCCTAATAACCTAATCTAATACTAATGAAACGATTAGAAGGTAGAAATCAAATAAATGGTTGATTATGAATCCCTACCTCCTTAACTAGCCATGCATATATTGAATTCATATTTTGGTTCAATAATTGTGATCACACTCATATAAGTTTTAAGATAAAATAATAATATTTGCCTCTTAAGCACTAATTAATATATTCGTAAATATAAAATCCTCTTAAGCTCTAATTAATATATTCATAAATATAAAATCTCTCTCTCTCTCTCTTGAATTTACCGAAGTGATACATGATTGCCTATGACTGGTGACTGATCGAATAAAAAACTCTCGATCCAACAATAAGTTCACGAAATGTAAAATTGAGTGTTCGTCGTGTAATAACTTGATCTAACTCTTCTTCTCAAATATGAAATAGAAATTAATCAAGCAATCACAACCCAAATTATGAAAAAAAATATTTAAAATAGTGAAATAAGTGATGAATACAAATCAACTAATTACAAGGTGCGTCCTAAAAAATATTGCACACAAAAAAAAAAAAAAAAAAGGTGACGAACAAGCCAATACAGGAAGAAATAAACATAGATATCGCCCATTTATTAAATATCAAGAAGATTGAAGAGTCTCTTTCTGAAACTTAGCCCTTGTTTGGCTCCATTATTTCCAATTAAATTATAATTCATTTTTCTTACTTTTCTTAACGATCATACATTCTCCAATAAAATGATATTGCACTTAAATCCAAAAAAAATTTCTTCTTTTTTAACCACTTATTTTTCAAAAAAATAAAATAAAAATATTCCTCTCATTATAATGTGGAATAATGTGGCCCAAATGGGCTATTAATAAACCCTTTTTTTTTTTTTTTTTTTTTTTTTGAGAATGAATGATCAAAAAAGAATAAAAAAATTTCGATTTATTTGTCAAAAATCTTCATGAAAGGTTACGTAGTCAAAAATAGGAGAGAAAAAAATAAAATTTAATTTAATGGGGTAATTTTCTTTTGGTTGCATTTTTATCTTTTATTTTCTATTAATCATCACATTATGCCCTTATTTGAGCCACATTATTTTCGTAAGAATATATTATAAGAATGCATTTTTGAATAGTGTATTGATGAAAAATATGTTATTAAAAATAAGAAAAAAATTTAGATTTATCTGTAATATTATTTTATTGAAGAATGTCTGATTGAAATGATATCAAATTACTGTTTAATAATATATTTTTTTGAAAGAATGTGGTCAAATATGATGTATATTTTCATGAAATAAAACTTATTTGCTGTTTATATTTTAAATAAGCAAAAGTACAATATTGTATTTGACCCACATTTAAAAGGGCACTAATAATTTTTTTAGACAGAAATCGTTATTAATGACAAGATATGAAAGGTGTTAAATCAGAAGGGTGCGATCAAACTATTATTACTACGAGAATGTCCAATTAGTTCATTCTATACTAATTAACTTGTTTGATAGTGCTTAAAAATTATACGAAATACAAGAATAAAAAGCGTGTTCAACCAATTGAAATTAAAATTAAAGCTTTGCCCAACATGCACTCAAGGAAAACGATTTTGAGATTTAAGGAGATTCTAGGATAATCTGCCTAATAACCTAATCTAATACTAATGAAACGATTAGAAGGTAGAAATCAAATAAATGGTTGATTATGAATCCCTACCTCCTTAACTAGCCATGCATATATTGAATTCATATTTTGGTTCAATAATTGTGATCACACTCATATAAGTTTTAAGATAAAATAATAATATTTGCCTCTTAAGCACTAATTAATATATTCGTAAATATAAAATCCTCTTAAGCTCTAATTAATATATTCATAAATATAAAATCTCTCTCTCTCTCTCTTGAATTTACCGAAGTGATACATGATTGCCTATGACTGGTGACTGATCGAATAAAAAACTCTCGATCCAACAATAAGTTCACGAAATGTAAAATTGAGTGTTCGTCGTGTAATAACTTGATCTAACTCTTCTTCTCAAATATGAAATAGAAATTAATCAAGCAATCACAACCCAAATTATGAAAAAAAATATTTAAAATAGTGAAATAAGTGATGAATACAAATCAACTAATTACAAGGTGCGTCCTAACAAATATTGCACACAAAAAAAAAAAAAAAAAGGTGACGAACAAGCCAATACAGGAAGAAATAAACATAGATATCGCCCATTTATTAAATATCAAGAAGATTGAAGAGTCTCTTTCTGAAACTTAGCCCTTGTTTGGCTCCATTATTTCCTATTAAATTATACTTCTTTTTTCTTACTTTTCTTAATGATCATACATTCTCTAATAAAATGATATTGAAGACTCTCTTTCTGAAACTTAGCCCTTGTTTGGCTCCATTATTTCCAATTAAATTATAATTCATTTTTCTTACTTTTCTTAACGATCATACATTCTCCAATAAAATGATATTGCACTTAAATCCAAAAAAAATTTCTTCTTTTTTAACCACTTATTTTTCAAAAAAATAAAATAAAAATATTCCTCTCATTATAATGTGGAATAATGTGGCCCAAATGGGCTATTAATAAACCCGACATTTTTTCCAATCTCCATCTTCAATAATTTATTCCTTGATTTTTCCACAAAGAAAGATGATTTTTCATGCTCTTACATATTAATAAGATATGATGTTAATTGTATGAATGTGCTCTCTTCCTTATGTTGTCCAACCATCCGATACACACGATTAGTTTAGAAGTCTTGAAAAATAGTGTTTGGTATATAAAGTCCATGCTGTTGTGAAAAGAGAAGAAAAAAGAAGAGAATAGAGAGAAGTCAATAGACTTGTGTGTATTTTATTAAGAATCAAAATTCTATATTTATAGGTAAGAATCAGGGATATGATGGTAATAATTTCTATGACTGCAGGGGTAAAGATATCATTCACTAACAAACCCTAATAAATTTACAATTTACAACTCTCTCTCTTAAATGACACATTACAAAATATATGTCTCGTTAAAACCTTTTTTTAATAAAAATTCAATGGGACAAAAAAAATCAAATAAAGGAAAAACGAGTACAATTATTTTGGAGTATTAAAAATAAATTCTGCATTATTAAAACTTTGCTAGGAAAACTTGATCACTGAAAATATTTGAGTCGACGCATTCCAATTTCATGAACTAATTTTTTGAATGTAGATGTTGACAGTGCTTTTGTAAATAAATCAACCACATTGTCATTTGAGCGAATTGTTGAATATCGATGTCGCCATTCTTTTGAAACTTATATGTATGAAAGAATTTTGAAAAAATATGCTTCGTCTTATCACATTTGATATAACATCCTTTGAGTTGTGCAATACAAGCTACATTGTTTTTATACAAAATTGTTGAACTATTTTTTGTTAAAGTTAACCTGCAAGATACTTGGATATGATGGGTCATGTCCTTAACCACACACATTCTCATCCTGCTTTATGGATTGCAATAATTTCATAATAATTTGAAGATATAGTTGTCAAAGATTACTTCACAGATCACTATGATATAGCCCTTCCTCCACGTATAAACACATATCATGTTTGTGATTTAACTTTATGTGGGTAAGAAAGATCAATAATACCATTTAGGTAAAGAAAAATGTGCTTAACACCATTCCAATTTCTTTGAGTTTTTATAGAGTTATATATTGCAAGGAGATTTACAGAAAAAATTATTTCAGGTCGAGTACAACTTGCAAGATAAGTTAATGCTTCAATTGCACCAAGGTATGACATTTCAGGACCAAGAACATTTTCACCATCTTCAAGAAAACGAAATTTATCTTTTTCCATATCAAGTGATCAAACAACCATAAATGATGTTAATTGTTATATATTAACCATATAAAAACATTTTAAAACTTTTTCTGTATATGTAAATTAATAAATAAATAATCTTTCTGAAAAATGTTCAATTTGCAATTCGAGACAAAATGTGGTTTTTCCCAAATCCTTCACCTCAAATTCATTTTTCAAATAATTAGCAGTTTTGTTGAACTCTTCTAGAGTTCCAATTAAATTTAAATCATTAACATGAATTGTCACAATTAAAAATCCAATTTTTTTATTTTTTTAATGAAAAGACATGGGCAGATATCGTTATTTTTATAACCTTCCTTCAACAAATATTCCGTAAGATGATTAA